GGTGGGGGTGGAGGAAGGGGTGAGGGAGGTCGAGGGAGGATGGAGGGAGGGAGGGAGGAGTGAGGGCGAGGGGAAGGGGAAGGGAGTGAGGGGTATGTTGGGTAAGGGGGTGAGGATGAAGGGATAATTAGGTAAGAGGGTCTACGGCAGGTTAGTAGGAGGGGAAGGGCGAAAGGGGGGGGGGTTGGGTCTTCCTTATTTATTTATGTCTACTTATGTTTACTGCCTTGCGTTTTAGCTAATGAAGTATTTGTTTTATTCTCCATTCTACTCTCTCTCTCTCTCTCTCTCTCTCTCTCTTCTCTCTCTCTCTCTCTCTCTCTCTCTCTCTCTCTCTCTCTCTCTCTCTCTCTCTCTCTCTCTCTCTCTCTTTGCAACATTCATATAATTTTGGTCTATAGTAATTCTCTCTATAGTAGCTCACATTGAACAGTTAATAACCACTATTATATCCGGATTTTAAGTATATACTTCCTTAACTATAACCCTTGTGTTTGTACAGAATCATTTAAGGAGAAATAATTTGATTCCCTTCAAGTAAGTCATTTTTTGCAACTACCAAGATTAATTAACTCCAAGTATTTCTATAATGCACACAGCAAATATTAACCATAAATTAACTCGACCATTAGCAATCATCTTTCCCCTCCGAGCCTGCTTATGTCGCCTATTTTTAGCCACTACTCATCAATAATCTTAACACTGAACTAAAATGTCTATTTTAGCGAGGAATTTCAGCTTAATAGCTTCATCATTAATCTTTTGCTCCCAGGTAAGTCCATCATAACAGTTAATCAAACATGTATATTTAACAAACATCTTTTTTCGCACATTCCTTGCTGGCGGATCTTGCTATTTTGTATCATCAATCTTCCATTTTCTTAACAACTAATCACCAAAATATTTCTGATAGTTTATCCAACCTTACAATAATTTTCTGTAAACCAAATACCAATTTCTGCTAATTCATCCTATCATACATTGCCAGCTATCAGTAATCAACAGAAATCAACCACTTTACCTTCTCTACATCATAACGAAATCACTGTGTCAACCGCAAATCACCAATTAACCGACATACACATATAACGACTACATACCCCCCCTTCCTCCCCGACCTCATCCCTACTCATACCGAATAATCCATAACCCAATTACTAAATATAAATAATTCCTCGTCAGCCAATACACCTGTCTCACGAAAACCCCCACTATACCTCCCCCTATAAATCTTGTAGGTCAGGAACCAGCCAACTCTCAACGACAAAGATTAATTTCACTCTTTTATCTGTTACCAAACGAAAATCAATCCCGTTTAACAGCTGACCTGTCGAACGAATAAACACCTACTCTTACAAACACACCTTTTAAGTTGAGGTAAAAAGTTCTTGTGCGTTTCTGAGTTGTTTGTGTTATTTCTTGAGGCTGGCGTTTGGCATGCGAAGGTGGCTGAGCATAACGTAAATAATAGGCATCTAAAACATTTTTTTATTTTATCCTTCCAGAAGGTGTGCAAGAACCCACAGCTTAACTGTACATCCAGGACCTATTGCTACTGATAAAGAGAGAGAGGCGGAGACAGTGACAGAGAGAGAAGAGAACAGATAGATAGAGAGAGAGAAAAAAAAGAAAAGAAAGAGAGCAGACAAATAGATTGAGAGAGAGAGAGAGAGAGAGAGAGAGAGGAGAGAGAGAGAGAGAGAAGAGAGAGAGAGAGGAGAGAGAGAGAGAGAGAGAGAGAGAGAGAGAGAGAGAGAGAGACAGAGAGACAGAGAAAGAAAAGAAAAAAAACGAAACCAAAAAAAGAACACACAACACCATTTCCTCCTCGGTTTCCAAATCACCCCCCACTTTCCCTCCCCCCTCCCCCTCGCCTCCCCCACTCCCACTCCCTTCCCACCTTCCTTCCCTTCGCCCCCCTTCCCCCCCCCCCGCCCGAACTCACTCCTGCTGGGGCTTGGGCGCGGCGCCCTTATGGCCTCCAGTCGCGTCTTTGGTCATGTAGGCGAACATATTCTCGTAGCGAACCACCGGCTGCGTTCCCCTTCTCGCCAAATTTCCTGCAGATTTTTTCTGTCCGTCGCTGAGAAAGATCTGTAGGAGGGGAGGGGGGAGGGAGAAGGAGGGAGGGGGAGGATGGGTTTGTTTAGATATTCATTAATGTTTTGTTGTTTGTTGTTTGGTTTATTTTGTTTGGTGTTTATTTTATCATTAATTTTATTATTATTAATATCATTAATTTATATTATTATCATTATCATTAACTTTATTATTACTATTATTATCATTATCAACTTGTTATCGCAATCATTAACATTATCAATTATAATCATAATGAATATTACAAAATATTAGCATTATCACTATTACAGTCTTTATTATCATTACTATCATTATTACTATCATCATCATTATCATCATTGTTATTGCTACTATTATTCCTTTTATTACTATTGCTATTAGCATTACTATCATTATCATTACCATTTATTACTATTGT